GAGGTCGATTTGGAGTTGTACGAAAGGTGATAAATCCATATATTGAGTGACTTCAAAATGTATCAGCTAGGGGTGTAAGAAAATATCGATACACTTGAGTATCGCGATATATTGTTTGGCGATACTGTATCGATTCTCAAAAACGGAATATCTATTTAAAAAAAAAAAAAAAACATACAAGATTCATGGCAGTTGTTTCGTTTTGAGTTTATATCCCGACCGCTAGATAGCAGTCTTCATCTCTGAACTTAAACAGTGACAGGAAATACTAGCATTAGGGCACACCACTAATGTTAGTGTTAATATAGTTTGCTGCTAGTAATGGAGGATGAAAGAATTGTTCCAGCTCCCGCCTCGGTGTACAAAGCTGAAGTGTGGCGTCATTTGGGCTTATACCGACCCTAACGGGCGGTAGGGTCGCCGTGCGGCTGCAGCTTTCTCTCGTGGTGGGGCGGTGCTCGCGTCGCGGTCTTGGCGATTCCACGAGGCGGCGGAACATAAATACAAACTGAAAAACCTGTGAAATCCAAGTGGAAAGGTTCTGAAAATGTCATTTATTTTATTGTTTTAAAATTGTTTTGTTTTCTTAAGAAATCCTGAATGCACTTTATTTTTCATTAATATTAAGCAGATGTAATTCTTTTGTTCAGATCAAAATGTTATGACATTGTATGTTACAATTGTAAACTTAAAATGTGAACCTTTAAAGCAGGTTCTAAAGAAATGGTATTTTTATAAAATACATATTATACATTTAACTAAAGGATCCTGCAAGCACTTAAATTTTTCCCCCTTGACTCGTACTGCACAAAAAGTGGTTCAATAACGTTGAATGTTACAGGGACTGATTATTGCAAATGCAGATCCCACTGTGTTCTGGTTAAATAATTTCTATTTATTTATTGCTAAGGTTTGCATATAGTGGTGTGTTCTTAATGACAGCTTTCCTAAAAATATATCCTATTCCTAAAATAAGAAATATCCCAATATATATCACCTTGCTTACAGTATCGCAACATATCGTACCGCAACCCCTGTACCGCGATACGTATCGTATCGCCAGATTCTTGCCAATACACAGCCCTAGTAAAAAATTTACATTTTTTGCTTTTGAAAAGTTGTTTTCTTTTTCTTTTCTTTTTTCCTTTTAGTTTATTGAACTAACATGCACTGAGTCATTCACAGTAAGAGCAAAATTGTGTATTAATAAAGTAAAAGCGGTTAATTTTGGTTTCATGTTGAATTTGAACAGATAATGCCATCAGGACTGTATACATAGAACTGTATATATAGACCTAGATGTACTTTCCTCTTTATAATGAATTGCAATAAAATTTTGTCCTTATAATTATCTTTTTTTGTCTTAAACTCATGCCAAAGAGTTCATGCCACTGCTTTAGGCGAATCCCAGTTGTCTTCCAGTAAGATGATTATTTAGCGAGCCCATGTGCCGCTGCTTTATGAGGTTTTGAGACACTGCGCTCTGGAGTACAGTAGATCTGCTCTATTTGCCGTGTCTCTGTAGCAGCGGTTTGAGCTAATACGATACAGAGGCTTGTGTTAACATGTGGTAGCGTTCAGAGGAACCACACTTCAGTCTAATTCGGCTCTCCCTTCCTCTTACAGCGGGGTCTGGGAGCACTTCAAGGTTTCTGGCTGGTCTCTCATCATTTTCAGAGGCCGTGTTTCTGGCAGCTCTTCCTCATGTGTGTGATGCCAAAAACATTCATTAGTGGATAGTGGCCTTTGCAGATAGTGGCTAAACACTGGACAGTCAAGTCAGGTACTGCTGCTCACATGAAGTCACTATGGGCTTTTTTTTGAGGTTTTGTATTAAGGTTAGGTTTACTTTTGTATTGTAAGTTAAAAATACATTTTTATATTTCCACTTTAGCCTTGCTTATATCCTGCCTTTTACAGCAAATCAACAAATTATGATTACGACCATAAACTGTATATTTATTAGCTATGGTAGGAATCGTTCAGTGACCTTAAAACCTTTTTTTCTTTTCTATTTTTTTTTAAAGCAGATAATAATAAAATGCCTGTTTTTCCCCTTATATATTTTTATTTACTTATGTCTTGTATTGGAATATAGCTTACAGTATCGCAATATATCGCAACATATCGTATCGCAACCCCTGTATCGTGATACGTATCGTATCGCCAGATTTTTGCCAATACACAGCCCTAGTATCAGCTGACCCATTGCTCATTTATAACGAAAATACATAAAGTGGAAAATGTATCAGCTGACTCACTGCTCATTTATAATGAAAATACATAAAGTGGTTTCTACGTCTTTAGATGACCATCCCAAATGATGACATCTGGTTGTGTCCATTCAACACCAGGGGTGCATTGGATTCTTGTGGTAAGACTTTCTTGTTTTAAATCAGGGGTCCCCAAAGTCGGTCAACACGGTGACTGAAGGCAATTGTTCTGAAGGAATCTCCAGTGGCCAGGTACCTGTGGAAAAAAATCAAGATACATTACATTAAAAATAATAAAGTTAAAAAGATTTACTGTGCATGTATGTTCTTTGTCTTTTACTATGAGCATGTGTCTATCACACTAGCACGTTTCCATTATAGATTTGTGCAAAACTTTGGCGATATTTTATAAATGTCGATAAAAAAGTATTGTGAAATGACAGCGTTTCCATTAACCAATGTTATGCGACTAAAACGTAACTTTCTGCCTCTCGCGATAAGTCATGGCAACGGATTTTGATGGGATTTTGACGGATTTTGGCTATATTTATTCGACGGACCCACAATTCAGTTTGGCAACGCTTGACGTCACTCCATTCAAAGTAAATGAGAAGCGTTGACGCTGACGCCCCATGTGAATGGGCTGTTAGAGTTCCTCTGGAGGAGATAGGGGCTGTCTTCTGAAAACTTCCAACCTCTCTCTAATGTTCCTCTCTCATTCTTCCGTCCCCTGTTGTCTCAGTCCTCTCATCATCTCCCAGGCCGTACGGGATAGCTGCTCAGTGAGGCTCTCTCTCAGTGTAATTACACTGACGGGCAGTCCTCTGTCCTTCATGTCTGCAGTCACCTCCTCTACCAATTAATACAATCGCGTCCCGTTGTCATAAAACACCCGTAGTTTAGCTGGGAACGGGATCTGGAAGTGTATCTGTTTCTGTTTAATACCCGTTTGGCTTCAGAGTATTCCTTGCGTTCCTGTAGAATTGCCAGAGGGTAATCTTGGTCAAAGTATATTGGCCTTAAGTATAAAATACCTTCTTTCCCCAGGCTTTGCGCAGAATCTCTTCTTTGATTTTGTAGCGCTGGAATTTGATTATTACTGCAGTCTATCTTCCCTGTTGCCAGAGGATTTCGCTGCGAGCGTCCGGTGAGCTCTCTCGATGCCAAGGTCTGTAGTTGAGCGGATCTCCAGCTCGTCCCGTAGTAACTTCTCCACAAACAACGTCATTGACGCCCCCTCTGCTCCTTCGGGAACATTATAGATCCTTATATTCTCCCGTCGTGATCTCCCTTCTTGGTCGAGAAGTTTATTTTCTTGTTGGCTCATCACTTTTATCATCTTGCTCATCACCTGTTCCACTTTTTGAACACGGTCTTCTACATTTCCGATTCGCGTTTCTGCAATGAATCAATTGCAATGTTTGCTTGAGAACACTTTGGCTAAATATATCTGCCAAATGTATACATATAAATGCAATATCAAAAGCATATAAAAGGCACCTTGTATTGTGGCATTCATTCTTTCCACAAGCCCATCTGTTGAGGGTGATAGAGTGCACACAATAAGCCATGCCATGCTGGGTTCTTCTGGCCAGAGGAGAAATGGAAGTGTCAGCGCAAGTTCTACTAGCAAGACTTAATGCCACGTCACATTACAATTAGATCTAGCCAATCGGCACTCAACACAAGGAATATATGCCAAATGTATACATATAAATGCAATATCAAAAGCATATAAAAGGCACCTTGTATTGTGGCATTCATTCTTTCCACAAGCCCATCTGTTGAGGGTGATAGAGTGCACACAATAAGCCATGCCATGCTGGGTTCTTCTGGCCAGAGGAGAAATGGAAGTGTCAGCGCAAGTTCTACTAGCAAGACTTAATGCCACGTCACATTACAATTAGATCTAGCCTATCGGCACTCAACACAAGGAATATAAAAGCCCTCTACTCACCCTTCATTGTGTTTGCAGATACTGCCGCTGACGTTTCTTACTCAAACTGTCGCTTGACTTATTGCCCGACTTTCCCTGGGTTGCTTGCATATAGTTAAGTTTGTCTCCTGCGAACGATTGCGAGTTTGACATTCCTCTCAAGACGCACACTAGATCGTTGGCATTGCTCTGGTGTCGCGGTGAATGTTTGCGGTTGTTTGGTAGTGTTGCCATATATACAGGTGTTGGAGTTTTCTCGGCGGAGGATGTGCAACATTGGCGGAGCTTTTAGTTCACGTCCGCTGTCATTCCGAGTACTTTCCGAGCTGTTGCGTCAGCGTTGCAACAAAGTATTTCGCCTGTACGCTCACATGAACCTACAAAAATTACTCTCTGGGCCTGCTGTCGGAAACAAGGCTGCTAGTCTTCTTCGGCATTTCGTCTTCATCACTTCATCAGCTTACACCATTATAAGTATTATTTTGTTTTATGCACTTGTGGCGCTCGGGGCGTAGATTTTATTCTCTGCAAGCTTATTCACTCTCTCACGTGTTTAAAACAATGCGCTTGGTGTCGCGTGATTGTTTGTGTATCTAGCAGACTGGCACTGCATAATCAACCTAATTTGAGCCTAGGTTGCATTATGCCTCAGTGCGATTTTGGAAAAAATATATAAATAAATAAAATAAATAACTGTGCTTAGTGTCTTTTGTAAAATAGATTACAGTATACTGAGTCCAGAGTTCACGATTCATAGTCACGTAATGCTGCACGATTCATCTTTGCAAGCGTGATATCTTTAACCTACATTAATTAGAAACAAGACCATAAAATTACTGGCCAAGCTCTAACCGTGTTGGGTTCTGCACAAGTAGAAGTCCGATACAAAGGCACAGTGAAGGAGTTAACGGTAGTGGTAGTACCCGGAACAGGACCCAATTTATTGGGCAGAGGATGGATTAAGGAATTGGGCATGGAATGGCAGGCCCTACATAGGATGCAAGGGGTGAAAATTTTAACTTTGCCTGAAGTCCTCAGCCAACATGAAGAATTGTTTAAAGAGGAGTTGGGGGAATTGAAGGGTCCACCAGTGAAGATTTATGTAGATAAGGAAGCAGTCCCAAGGTTTTTCAAAGCCCGACCGGTCCCTTATGCAATGAAGGCAAAGGTTGAAGTTGAAATAGAACGCCTGTTAAGAGAACACATTATAGAACCTGTTAAACACTCTGAATGGGCTGCACTTGTAGTACCTGTTTTAAAGTCTGATAATACCATACGTCTATGTGGGGACTACAAGCTAGCTGTAAACAGAGTTTCAAAGTTGGAACAGTACCCCATTCCTCGGATAGAGGATTTGTTTGCAACTTTATCGGGTGGACAGAAGTTCACAAAATTGGATATGAGCCATGCTTATCATCAGATTGCATTAGATGCAGAGTTCAGGAAATATGTCACAGTGAATACCCACAAAGGGCTGTTTACTTACCGTGTTTTACCTTTTGGAGTCTCTTCTAGCCCTGCCATCTTCCAACGGACCATTGAGGGGGTACTGCAAGGTCTTCCGCAATGTGGCAGTTTTCCTTGATGATATCCTGGTAACCGGTCGTAATGATGAAGAGCATCTCCAAACTCTTGCTAGAGTATTGGATAGATTGCAGGAAGCAGGACTGCGGTTGAAAAGGAGTAAATGTTCCTTCATGGAAAAAGAGGTAATGTTCTTAGGTCATAAAGTGGATGACGTTACGGACCATAAACCCTTGTTGTCTTTATTTAACGAGTTAAAAGCTGTTCCCCAAATGTCCTCTCCTAGAATCCAGCGATGGGCTGTGACCCTGAGAGCATGCGAATACAACATCATCTACAAGGCTGGCAAAGATCATGGCAACGCAGATGCTCTAAGTCGGCTACCATTGCCAATGGAATCTTCCACCGAGCAGGAGGAAAGAGTTCTAATGCTGGAGAATGCTGATATCACCCTGATCACAGCAGAACAGGTGAGAGAGTGGACAAGAAAAGATCCAGTATTATCTCGGGTAAGAGAAACAGTGCAACGCGGATGTGTGCATGAATTAACAGGAACGGAGTTTGACCCATTCACATTAAGGAAAGATGAATTAAGCGTACAGGATGGTTGTGTGCTTTGGGGGCCCCGAGTAATCATTCCCAGTGTGGGTAGACTAGACGTTCTTAAACAATTGCATCAGTGTCACCCAGGAGTGTCTAGGATGAAAGCGTTGGCCAGAAGTTATGTGTGGTGGCCCAAGTTAGATCAGGATGTGGAAAGGCTGGTTAAAACCTGTTGTACATGCCAAGAGCATAGGAATGTTCCAGCTGTTGCCCCACTGCATCCTTGGAATTGGCCAGACAAACCATGGCAACGTTTGCATGTGGATTATGCAGGACCGTTCATGGGAAAATGTTCTTTGTTTTGATTGATGCACATTCAAAATGGATGGACGTGTATCCAGTGAATTCAGCCACATCTGCTTCCACTATTGACTGTTTGTGGAAGAGCTTCAGTAACCATGGATTACCTGAACTGATTGTATCAGATAATGGTACTTGCTTCATTAGTGCCGAATTCAAAGAGTTCCTTCATAAAAATGGAGTACGGCATGTTACTTCTGCACCTTACCATGCTTCTAGTAATGGTTTAGTGGAACGGGCTGTCCAAATTGTTAAAACCATGCTAAAAAAATGTGTTGATGGAACAATAGCAACTAGATTGTCTCGAGTTTTATTCAGTTATAGGATCACTCCCCAGACCACCACAGGGCTCTCTCCAGCGGAAATGTTGTATGGAAGGAAATTACGCTGTTCAATGGACTTTATACATCCTGATTTGACAAGGAAAATTCATGAACAACAACAAAAGCAAAAAATCTATCATGATAAAAAGGCCCGTGAATGGAGTTTTTGTGTTGGAGATCCAGTACTTACTCTGAACTTTACTTATGGACCGAAATGGATTCCGGGTCATATAGCGACTGTGACTGGACTACTTTCTTATAAAGTAATGGTGGGCGATGGGCGAGTGGCTCGACGGCATGTGGATCAAATTCATGCCCGACAGAAATTGCTTGTAAACACTTCAGAAGAGGGAATGGACTGTAAATTCCCTGATTTCGACATTCCTGGAAACTCAACACCTGTAGTTGCTAAAGAGACTTAGGGAACAGGGACTGAGGACATTTCTAGTGAAACTAATCCCTCTGAAGCATCTGGGGATTCCTCTCAACATTCGGAGATAATCACTGAAATGAACAAACCTGCTAGTCCTGTTGTAATTATGAGACGGTCACAAAGAACCAGGAAGTTGCCTACCCATTTGAAAGATTATGAACTGAAGTAATATTGAATGTGAATTGAAGACTGAAAAAAAAAAAAAGTGAATTGTAAACTGTGAGGCTATTTTTTGACCTATGTAATTGTGATGCTAGTTGTAATGTTATTGTAGTTATATATATTTTTTTTTTGTGGAGAGAAATAGCATTGTGATTATTATGTAAGCTTGGGGGAAAAGGGATGTTGTAGAGTGACAATGAAGTGTCAGTTGTAGTGATGACCTGTAGAGGGCAGGCTAAAGCTGGATTGGTATTTGCTTAAAAAGCAGCAGAGAAGAACTTGGTG